AGATAGTACGCTAAACAAGCAGGGCGCCAAGAGGCGACGTGTCGCAGCAAGAGGCTGCGCGAGGAGCAAGACTTGAGGCGCGCCGCGCACCATGCAGTAGACACTCTCGCTCTGGCTAGGTCAGTGTACGAACAATGATTAGTGCGAATATGCGCGTCTAGAGATCGCGCGGAATCAAACTTGTTGGACCGACAATGACAGGCCAGCTTGTCGTCGTTCTGCTTAGGCGCGGGCTGGTCCTTTCTTCCTGGCAAGCCATGCTCAGAACGCAAGTTAAGGACCCTAATCTCCCGAGCCCTCGCCTTGACATCTCTCGTCAGACGGGCAACCGATGCTAGCAATGCCTCTCTGAGGGTTCTTTTCCCGGCCGACTGAGATCTGCTAATCTCCGCCAGCCATTGGTGTGGCCCCAGGCTAGGAAGGGGAAACCCTCAAAATTGAAATGAGCAGAACGACGCCATTCGAGATCAGACTACATATCATGGAGCCAGCTGCTCTTTGAAACACGAAGCTCTTCTTGGAGGACTGCAATCAGCGTATTCGGGCCAGCATGCACGATCTGGCCAAACAGCCGAAGTCTAGAAACGCGGAGTAGGGGTGACGCCAGGGGTCTATCCGCCGCCGCTAGCACCTCCCTGTCGGTCGGTCCTCCTTTCTCGAACCTCGGCATCCGCAGGATGGATCGGTATCGGCGAGCGTACTGCGATTGGAATCTGGCTTCATCGGGTTTATGGAGAGAGTACCAAATGCCAGAAGCGTACATAGCGGCATTGACCGACAGGCTGTCCAGGAAGATGAGCTTGGGAGCCATGTCCCTACCTGGAGCCTTGGCAATAGCGCGGCGAAGGGTCTTCACAGCCCCACAGGCCTCTCTGCCCCTGTAAGAAAACTCAAGGCCTAGATTCCCCTTATCGTCCAAGACCGACCCCAGATAGGCTGTGGAACGTACGACTGAAATTTCGCTGCCACCGCAAACCAACCCAGGGGCCGAAATCTTAGGATCGGAACGAGAAAACAGGCGCTTGCGAAAGGCACGGGCCCCAGGCCCCTCTCATCGATGAGCAGCTAGCTCTGTTTTTCCTACCTTGAGGCGAGGAACGAGACCCACGGGTTCACATGCATTCGAAACGATGCGACAGAACTTAGGCAATGCCTGCTGGAAACGCTCGGGCTCCGAAAGCAAAACGAACCATGAACCATTGGCGTGCGCCGAACCAGGCATGGGGGGAGAGGATGGGTTAACGTCTCTACGAAATCGCTCAGATGAAGCTGCGGCCTCGTAGAGCAAGTCCTCTCTTCGCAATTCTTCTGCGATCTTGTTGGTAACCTCCGCAATAATAAACGCAAACATGGCATCTCCGAAGGGGGTGCCTGGGCGGGTCCCTTGGTGTGTGATGGCTATCTTTTCGGCCCCAGGGGCCTGGAACCACCCCGATCGAAAAGCTTCTTGTACCATGGCAGTATAGTGATCCGACAACCCGTGGCGGTGCAATAACGGCATCTCGCTGAGCCGTTCTTGCGTGCGCGGCAGATAACCGTCTGGGAGGCCTGCGCAAAGGAGAAGGGATACTAGGGGATGCCTAGACGTGCCCGTAGAGAGCACAAGCTCTCGCACACATGAGTAGAAAGCATTCATGACGTCAGCGAACAAAAAACGCAATGCATAGCTTGGACGCAGCAATCTTGCGAAGGACCCAGACAGCTAAAATTGCCATTGGGGTGCCTCGTCCAGGGAGGCGCGCAAACTGCTGCTCTCCGACCACACTGCGCAACGTCGGAATCATCTTAGATCTTAAGCAGTGAACCTCGTCGCATTCAACATCAGGTGCTCTCTCAGCTTCTGTGGTACTAGGCGCGTGCTGATCACTGACTTCTTGATCGACTCCATCACCTTCTCCGCCGTCTGCTCCTCGTACTTCTGAACCATCGTCTCCCATGATACGATGCTCTTGATCGGGTCGTGCTCCTGCATCGTCGGGTACATAATCGCATCCAGCATGCCTGAGAACCTGGAGGGGACCTTCGGCTCGAACTCGTCATACAACAATCTCCATGCTTCCAGTCCCTCTCCAGCTGCAACACTCTTCACTATGCCCTGCCCCTTGTCCTTGCAGGTCAGGACTAGATGTAATACAAGTTCGTGTTCACTCTCTGCGCATCCTCATCCAAATCTCCGTGTTCAATCGGCTCTGCGTCTGCCTTCGCAGCATCACGCATCAGCTCTGCCATATGCGGATCCACCGCCATGCAGTAGGCTGACAGGACGAAACTCCAGTTCTCCCACGTAACTCCGTCTCGATACTTCGCATTCTCATCTAACTCTCCTGAGAACTTGTCTGGCTTGCCGAGCAGCTTCGTGTCTACGAGTGACTCTCGAATCGGGGCTCCGTTGATCATCTTGAGCTCCCTGTTCAACTCCTGTCGCTGCTGCTCGTGCCTCTTGCCACTGCAACTCTAACGTTGCGATCTGCTCTCTCTGCTGGACCACAACACCCTCCATCGCCACAACTCGGGCCAACACATCTTGCAGTGAGGACATCTCCGCGCGAGAACGCTGGAGCCTGGCCGTGGGCACAACCAGGCTCCGCTACCATGCGGAATGGCGGAGCCTCTGGATTCCTTTCCCCTTGAGCCAAATGTATCACTCCAATATCTGCTCTCCATCTGTGTGAAACCCTGCACTCCCGGCCCAATTTCGAGCGGCCCGCTCGTGCCAGCTCGCACGGAGTGCTCGTCGGGCCGCGGAGCGCTCCGGCTCGATTCGGGCGACAGATTTGCGTGAGGGGTGCCGCCGAATTTCAGAAATGTTGGAAATTCCAAATGTTTTTGGCCCCTGACCCCGCCGATCTGCGTGAGGGGTGCCGCCGAATTTCAGAAATGCGGCAAATCCTTTGTGTTTTTGGACCCAGACCCCGCCGATCTGCGTGAGGGGTGCCACCGAATGTAAAAGTATGGCAAATCACTAATGTTTTTGGACCCTGACCCCGCCGATCTGTTTGAGGGGCGCCACCGAATTTCAGAAATGTGGCAAATCCCTTGTGTTTTTGGACCCTGACCCCGCCGATCTGCGTGAGGGGTGTCAACTTTTACCCCCCCAGGAATTCTGAGAACCCTCCCGGGGGGTGCTAAAAAGGGCAGTTTTCGGCTCCCCCCCCTCGCGCGGACAGTAACAATTTACAGTAGGAAGCAGAAAGCAGTGCAGGGAGCAGCAAGCTTAACCCTCGCAGCCTGATGGCCCCGCAAGGGGGCCGGCGGATTGCACCGATGATGTTCATGCTGTTTGTCACGAAGATGTTGAGCATGGTCACGATTATGATGATGTTGCTGCTGCTGACGCTGATGATGCTAATGCTGATGATGACGATGATGATGATGGTGATGATGATGCTGATGATGATGATGATGATGATGATGATGATGATGACGATGACGATGATGATGCTGATGATGATAATGACGCTGGAAGTGGTTTATTTCCATGATGATGACGGTGCTGCTGCTGATGATGATGTTGATGGCGATGCGATAATGCTGATGATGCTGTTGTTGTTGTTGTTGTTGTTGTTGTTGTTGTTGTTGACAACTATGCCGATGACGATGATGATTTTGATAATGATGCTGCTGATTCTGGTGGTGATGATACTGCTGATCATCATGATGCTGATGCTGATGACGATCATGCTGATTATGATGACGATATTGCTGATGCTGGTGATGATGACGATACTGCTCTTGCTGATGCTCATGCTGCTGCTGATGATGCTGATGATGCTGATGAGGATGCATATAGTGATGATGATGATGCTGATGATGATGATGATGATGATGATGATGATGATGATGATGATGATGATGATGATGGTGCTGGTGATGATGATGATGATGATGATGATGATGATGATGATGATGATGATGATGATGATGATGGTGCTGGTGATGATGATGATGATGATGATGATGATGATCCTGACGATGATGATGATGATGACGATGCCGATGCTGATGGTGATGATGATGCTGATGATGATGGTGATGATGATGCTGATGCAGCTGATGATGACTGTAACGACGACGGCGACGATGTTGCTGCTCATGATGATGATCATGATGACGTTGATGATGCTGATGCTGATGATGATGATGCTGCTGATGATGATGCTGGTGGCGAGGACGATGACGATAATGATGATGATGATGCTGCTGACGATGATGATGAAGATGATGATGATGATGATGATGATGATGATGATTGTGATGATGATGATGCTGATGATGATGCTGACGATGATGCTGATGATGACTATGGTGATTATGGCGGTGACGATGATGATGACTCTGCTGCTGATGATGATGAAGGCGATGAGGCGGAGCAGGCTGCCTGTGAGGCACTTTTGGTGATGATGATGATTGTGATAACGATGATGACAATGACGATGATGCGTATGATGAGCAGCTGATGATGAGGCTTATGCTGATACTGATGATGATGATAATGATGCTGGTGTTGATGATTCTGATGATGATGCCAATGATGCTGATGATGATGATGATGATGATGATGATGATGATTGTGATGATTGTGATGATCATGATGAGGCTGATGATGATGATGCGGCCGCTGGTGCTAATGATGATTCTGGTGATCACGACGATGATGATGATGATGATGATGATGATGATGATGATGATGATGATGATGATGATGATGATCATGATGATGATGATGCTGTTGCTGCTGATGACGATGATGATGATGATGATGAAGCTGACGCTGATGCTGCTGATGATGATGTTGATGATGCTGCTGATGATTATGATGATGCTGCTGATGCTGCTGCTGCCTCTGATGATGATGATGATGATGATGCTGTTGATCATGATGATGCTGATGCTGTTGCGGATGATGATGATGATGATGATGATGATGATGATGATGATGACGATGTCGATGATGTTGATCATGATTATGCTGATGATGATGATGATGATGATGATGATGATGATGGTGGTGGTGTTGATGATAATCATGGTTTTGGTGATGATGATGCTGCTGCTGATGATGCTAATGTGATGATGGTGATGGTGATGGTGTTGGAGGTGATGATGCTGCTGCTGATGATGTTTTTTTGCTGATGATGACGATGATGATGATGATGATGATGATGATGATGATGATGATGATGATAGCAATTATGAGTATGATGATGATGATGATGATGATGATGCTGCTGCTGCTGATGATGATGATGATGATTAGGATGATGCTGCTGATGATGATGATGATGATGATGATGATGATGATGATGGTGGTGGTGGTGGTGGTGGTGGTGGTGAGGAGGAGGAGGAGGAGGAGGAGGAGGAGGAGGAAGACGAAGAGGAGGAGGCGCCGTAGCCATTTTGGCTCAAGTCCGTAGCGTTTCGCTCAAGGTCTTGACCAGGTGGTGTGGGGGATTTTGCGGCCCCCGACTGCTCTCCTGGCTGCTCGCCAGGACTCTCACTAGTGCGGTTCGTGTACGGAACCTTCCTCTCTCGACGTGCGTTAGATGGTACCAGACCCTTCCTCTCGCTTCTCGCATGCTCCGTGGGTGCGCTCAGGGACCAGTCGAGGCGATGGAGGTGGTTGGACGCTCAAAGAGAAAGGGAAGAAGCCGCCCGCGACAGGATTTGCCTGCCCATCCTGTGGTTGCCGCCGTAACTCGCCCGAAGCCGTTTTGTGCAAGTATTGCGCCTTTCCCCTGCCGCGCATGTCTGCTGGCGCTCCTCCTGTTCCTCTTGCTGGCAGCTCGTGGTCTTCTTCGGCTCCCCCTGGAAGCTGGACTGGATTCAAGGGCCACAGTGGGAAAGGAGCTACGGGCAAAGGTGGTCGTGGCAAGGGAGGCAAATACGGTTTGGGCAAGGGATATTCTGATTCGAGCTGGCAGGCATGGTCTGGCATGCCCTCTCAGCGCAACGTCTCTTGGCATGCTCTCGGAGATGTGGCTGCAGGTGGAGGATCCCCGCCTCTTCCAGTGGGCCCCGTTCCTTCCGTCACAGCCGCTGAGGCACGTCAGTTATCTGAGCTGTCCAACAAGGCGGGGGACAAGTTGGCAGCATACCGTTACGATCTCATGGCGAAGCACCTGGAGGCAGCGGACAAGCCTCCACTGGAGTTGTCGGCGCATGCTAAGATGCAGAAGGCGCACAAGGAGGTCCAGCAGCTCGAGAGCCGTGCTGAGAAGGACCTGCAGCGCCTCACCAAGGCTAAGGAGCAGGTCGTCGAACTGGAGGAATCGCTGCGCGAGACGCGTGACCAGCTCAAGCTTGCAGACGAGGAGTGCAAGTCTGCACTGGCCAAGCTTCAGACCGAGAAGGACGAGCCCCAGTCCCATCAAGCTTCCCTCAAGCTGGGCGACCTGGTCTCTGGCAAATTCAGCATCGATTCCTTCATCAATTGCGACGATCTCCTCGAGGACCTGGCTGCAGGTGAGGTCGAGCTGGATGAGGCGGACAAGAAGGAGTTCGAGATTCGGAGGTCGGCGCTGGTTACAGGAGTACAGGAGCTCGCGCAGAAGTTGTTCCAGCAGCTGGCGGACAATGGCAAGGAGGCTCGTGCTGCTCACGAGGCCTACAAAAAGCGTCTGGCTGCGAAGAAGCGTCGTCTCGCTGAAGGTGGAGAAGCTGCCGCTGGAGGTGACGCTGCAGGGGCCGCAGCTGGTGAGTCTGCTGAGCCGCCTGAGCCTGTCAGCACGGGCAGCGCGGCTGCCTCGCATGCCCCTGAGCAGTCGAAGGCAGATCTTCGAGCCAGGGTGGATGGGGCTTTGGATAACTGAGGGCCGCCCCCCCCCCCCCGGCGACTTTGCCCGGGGGGGCCCAACGTTGTCCCAGAACGAGGCCCAGGCTCCAAGTCTACCTGGGAACTCTTTAACTTTTAAGCGTCCCGAGCTTCAGTCATTGGCTCCAGGGTCCAAGCCGCGGGCGTCCGACTCTTTCGGCGCCTTCAAGTTGCTTCTGGAGTTTTGCAAGGGAAAAACAGTTTTCCGGCCCCGCTGTTTCCAGAAGAAATTCGTTTGCCCCCAGGGCCCCACGGTATGGAATCTGTCGCTCGGTTGCCGCTGCCTGGCGCGTCAAGGCAGCACCCTTCAGCTTCCAACTTCATCCTGTCCAGCGAGCCCGCCAGCAAGCTGGACGCACGGTTGCTACAATCCGAAGCATCTTTTGCGCCGCCGCCGAGCTCGGTCGGGTCACGGCATGATGCTTCAGCCTCGGCCCCAGCAGGGGGCGCTTTTTCGTCGTGTATTCCGCTAGCTGATGGCCTGAAAGTTGCGACGGTCAACGCGAATTCCTGGGGCACCCATAAGACCTATTTGGAATCATCTGACTCGCGCGTCGTCTTAGCTCAGGAGCGTCGGCTTCGGGATCAGTCCGCGATCGACCAGGCGTCCAAGTCCTCGCTCTTCATCGGCTGGAAAAGTATTTGGGCGCCTGGGGTGCCTGGAGATGGAGGAGGAATCAGCAGCGGAG